GAGACTGCAGGCATGGTGTCACGGACAGCCAGGCAACAGGTGAGAGAGGAACAGCTGATATTGCATGATTGATAGAGTCACAGACAAGCCTTTCCACTGTGCCCATCATTCATGATGGATTAGCTAGGACGTTGCTTTGAAGGAGGAAGCAACAAGTTATGGAAAGACGAAAGGTGAAATTTAAGAAAAGTAAGAGAGAAGAAGTAGTTGGAAATCACATCATATCATGATTCAGCAGAATTTCTCAAAGGAGGAGGGGGACTGACAAGCACTGAAAACCAGTAACTTAAAACTGTGCTACAGGACTACATTAGTTTATTATAATTATTATTATTAGTAATAGTATTATATAATCATACTACTACTAATATTGTTATTATTATGTTATTATAAGTAAAAACAAACAAAAATCTTGCAAAAATTTATTTTTTGCAAGATAGCATTTATTTGAAGATTGTGTTTTTTTTTAAAGGTTTATAACTTTACCTTTGTAAAGGTTTGAGGTACGAGTTTCAAATGCTAAATGTTGTAAACACAGGATCAAAAGCCTCTGTGAGTTTGTTAATATAGCAAGTCCTTTAATTTTTAATTGTTACAGCAGCAGAACAATGCTGTTTGTTTTTTGTTTTTTTTAATTAGCTCCTTGCTAACCGATACTCATGTATCAGTGTGTTCGACACCTGGTGTGCCACCTTCTTCCGTTATGAGATCTTCGTCTCCGTTTTCCTTTCAAGGAGTAATCAGAGAATGGGGGTCACATCTTGACTGTCAACGAACTACTACATCTCAATTTACACACCAACCACACTTTAAGTTTTCTACGAATTTGAGAATTTTCCCCACAACCTGAAGCTAGGCATCAAGGCATTTGTGAAATGTACAGATGGGTTTGAGAGGAAGAAATGTACTTAATAAATGGACAATAACTCTGATTCTGCTGCATTTGACTGAAATACAAATGAGACTTCTTTAAAGCTTTCACACAGATCTATGTCTTTAAGTCTTAAAACAAGGTAGTCAATAACAACCAACTCTTCCACTTGGTCATTATAGTTCCATTGAAAGACTTCGAATGGTACAAACTTAAAAATGATGTACATTTAATAGAAATTAAATGCTCAGAAACTGATTATTTACAGCAAGAACCAACAGAAACCAATTAAGTCTTAAGATTAAATCCAAACAATTCCAACAGGTGCCCAGCTTCTGCTGATAACTTAATCATTTTGCTGCAAACCCTCCATCTGTACAAAGACCAGATGTGTTTGAACACACTCTAAAACTATGCCCTCTGACACATTAGGCATATCTACTCATTATCATTCCCATCCATGGTTATTGTAATAAAGATTTCTCAGCTAACTGTAGTCATATTGTGCTCTGGCATTGGGCTCATTTTGTGGGATCAGCCAGAGACACTTATTGTGTTAGCACCTTCAATTAAGCCGTTAATCTTATAAATGTGGGTGCATGCACATTATAAATAAATTTAAATACATCTTAAATGTTGTTTAAACTTCATATTTCAGGCCAAACCTTTTCTAGAATTGAAAGAAATGATTGTATCAGTTATGACTGGTGCATCTATACATACATGACCATTAAAATAAAGGTTAGGGTTGTATCCTCATTCATTTTAAACACGAGCTTTAAAACAGTTGCACAAACAACTGCCCATTAGCAAGACTTGCATCCTGGAACTAAATATACTACTTTGTGGTTGCGTGACTATTCCAACAACTAAAGATGCAGTTTACAGACATGTACTTGTCTGTACACGTTCATACATGTCCAACAGATATACTGAAGATCTTCCAGATAATTACTGGGAGTTTTTAAAAAAGTGATTTCACAGGAACCTTTGACCTCCTAATTCTAAGCATCTTATCTCAAGTCCAAGGGAACATTTGTAGCAAAAATATGGAGGTGATCAAAAACCTCTGATCAATAATGTTGAATACTTGCTTACACAATCCAAACGAATCGCTTTGCAAATTGCAAGGAACTGCTGTTTTATAACTTATTACAGTGCCTGAATATTTTGCAGCTGTTTCCACTGCCAGCAATGCAATTCAAGGCCAGGACTGCTCACTGAGATCGCACTTGGCTCAAGATAACAAAACTATACCGGAGTTCAGGAGATTACATGTATCACTGTGCATGTTTGCACACATTCTTACCCTGTGTCTGTATGAGATGAAGGATCTTTGTAGTGACCTGTCTTGCTGTTTCGACATCCCTGACCATGGCCTCACCATTCATCCTTTCCAGTTGGCCCAGGAGCATCACTATCCTGGAGTTACTGGGAACCCTTGTAACAAATAAAATCAGTTTTTACTTTTAGAACAATGCATCCAACAGGATAATTCAGTCATATGTTTAAAAAAAATCAACAAACAACAACAACAAAAAAACAACAACAAAAAACACACACACAGGATGATCAACTGTGGCCTCAATTATGGGAAAAGGCTAATGTTATTAATCACAATGTGCAGTTGGCACCGAAAAACAAATGTAAAGCATGATCTAATATGTGCAGTGACCTCATATACTCACACTGAGTCAAGTGTGTCTTAGCCCACTTTTAGAAAGCATCCAATAAAAACATGTTACTTTTAGCAGTGCTGGTGATTACAAATTGGCAGTCTATGACTATATGACTCTAAAATTCATTTATTAAAGCTTTTCAACAAAGCTGTCTCTTTGTGTTTCACTTCATTTCTGGAGCACTGATCCGTCCTCCTCTTATAATCTTAGCTCAGTAGCACTCAGCTGGAAACTCGAGGTTAGAGGTCCGTTGTTGGTACAGCAACGGCAAATACTGGACCGAGAATCAAGACCCTGATTCTACCCAGGGGAGCAAAAATGTCTTATATGTCCTTATAAAGACAGAGAGAGAAGAAAGGAGAGAGACAGAGAAAGTGTATGCTAAATACAGAATAGCAAAAAATGTCAAGAGTGAGGGAAGAATAGTGCATAAACAGAAAAAGGAAAAAACAGAACAAAAAATAGAAAGCCTAAATAAACATACTACATTAATCACTATGACAAGCACAGACACACAAACAAAAAAAGATTTTGGAAAGCCAAAATACACCGAAGGTTTTTCAAAGTATATTGATTGCCTCAGCATTAAGGACAGCTGTTATTTTCAGTCTTGACATATCGAATGGCTGTTTCAAGCAAGGTCCGCTAATTATCTACCAGTCTCTGCTCTGTTGCACAAGAAGAAAAGCAGGGTCAAACCCTTCTGCGAAGAGTCTTAACAAGGTAAAACAGAACAAAAGTGGAAGTGCATCATAACACTAAAGGCTCACTGAGACAGAGAGAGAGGGCGCGAGAGTGTGAACAGATGGCAGTGACAGAGCAGCCTTCAATCAGAAACACATGCACAAACATCACAAACCCCATGCCTGTTTGTGTTCACATCTGTAATGACATTTTGATTTGCTTTCTGAATGCAAATCAACTCACCCCTTCTCTGTGGCCATTTTGGGCTTGTTCATTTTTACGACATCAACATTTCAAGTCATCTGCAAGTGAAAGAACATGTAGATTAGATATGAAGAGGTTTTCAACACAATTTTAGACACAAGCATGTTTGTCAACCTTTACCCCACTGGACTCCCTCTGTTGCAGCTAGGCTTGCTACTATGCCAAACCATTTCACAGAAAAGTTAAGTGTCCCTGGCTACAGTGTACGCATGCCTTGTGAGGTCACCCCACAGACAAGAAGCTGTCAACTTAGGGGACACACTGAGCAGAGAATCCATTAGTCTGCAAATATGCAGGTGCTCTGCAGCAGACTAAAAAACTGTCCTCTGTGTATCTGCCCAGCAGTGCATGCTGGGACCACCTGGGGGACACATTACCTCTCAACTGATTTCACACAAAACAAAAGGAGCTGTTCAACTCATCTCAGATATCCACACAAAACAGTCGCAGTCAAGGTAATGTGAGCACAAGGTTTGAAAGCACGTTAAACAAGTCAACTTAGTGCGGTATCATTAACCGAAACGGATGAGCAGGTGAATCCAAGAAGACTGGACGAGTTAGTGTGCTGCACTTTCAAAACAGAAGCATTTATGGGCTGAGATAAGATGGGTCACAAACATGTGTTAGAGCGTGGTCATCACTGGTGCCTAATGCCATTTACTCCATTATTTTTAAACACAAGGGAGTTTTGTAATAACGTTATAATGTGCTAGAAATGTCCACACTAAAACACTTCATTACTTTAGAATTGAAGGTAAATAAGTAAAAAAACACCTTTACTCCTTAACGAGACTTTTGCAAAGCGTACATGCCCATCACCCGTTTTACCAAAAGGATAGAGCCTAATCTAAGAGTGACAGCACAATCTATGGTCACGCCTTTGTTACAAACGGGCTAAAGAAGAGCAAAGATGAAACTGGAGGTCAGACCATGTACACGTTTAAAATTTGCTCAAGCAGTTATAAAATCTAACATGTTATAGAGGTCAGCTTACACAAGACTGCTGTAAACAAGTCGAAATAACCCTATAGAGCTACTTCACAATCCCCGATCCAAAATCCTTTAAGAAACCAGGGTCATTGCTTTCATTGCACCAGCTCACGGGGGTTGTCATGTTAGCGGGTTATTGGTGAAAAGGCAAACAGCTAGGCAAGCCTCTGTACGGTACATGTTTACAAGATGCTAAGTCAGGCAACCTAGCTGAAGCTGGTGGCCGCTGCACCTGCTGGGCTAGTCACTCATTAACGACTGGCTGTCTGCGCCAGCAGGCTAGCTAACTGAAGAATATGCTAACAAAAACAGCACACAGTAGATGTTAGCTGAAGCAGTGGTTCTTTAGAATGGCAACACAAAAGAGAAGATGTACAAACCTGTATGAAAAAGGAGCTGTTGTCCCGTTTAGGGTGGAGGACTAGTTGCGAGATAAGAGGCGACAGCTACTGTGCTCCTGAGCGTTGAAACGCCCTGATGATGATGATGATGATGAGATGAGAACAGACACAACTAGAGGGGGCAGTTAGTGAGCACCGCGAGAGTGGTTACGTCTTTGCGCGTGGTGTAAGCGGCATTTAATGCTACGATATGAACATCGTAAATTAGCTCACTGAATCCTTAAAACTCAAATATCGTTTTATATCGTCACTGGTCTGATTTTAAGCCATAAGCGTTCCGTTAGGTTTGGCGTTCACAGGACTACATTTCCTATCGCTGCTGCTGATGACGTCATTCATGTGCGCCAATCTTTACAGTCTTCGAGGGGATCTTTGATTAGCTACATGGTTAATACAATATAGTAAGGTACGTGCTGATTTACAGCGAAAGTATAATTTCTAAGTAACAGTCTTCGTGTTTTATATACCTGAGTGGAATGGATTAACCTGTTAAAACATCCATAAGCAGCTTTTGTTCACAGAGAACACCCAGTGTCGGCAACATTAGCTTGTTTGCACACGGTAAAGCTAGCTAATGTGACGATTGGTGATAGCTAACTCATACCATCTCGTGTCTTTTAAAATTATGTATCTTGCCTAAGAGTTTTAGTACGCTTTTGAGGACTGTGTAAACTTAGGTGACCTTTTGACATCCATGTTATTAGTTTCAAAAAGGTATATGTTAGGAGACAAACAGTTACTACTTATCTCATTGATCATTTTACGGACATTTAATCGGGTAATATCGATTTCTGATAGGCTTTTTATTTAGGCATCTATACAAGTGATTACCAGTGTTGCCTCTTATATGTCCTCTAAACGTTATATATGTTACAGGTGAATGAACCAGTCATTTAAAAATGGTTTCAACTCTCCCTGACCACATCAGTTCATTAGTGTTGACGGCTGAGACTTTCCAGGGCACTCTGGAGTGCAGTTTACACCATTTTAGGCCATAACAAGCTTCTCAAGTCAGCTCGCATGTTAATCCTCTGTTGTTAGCTTAGATCAGCCTCGTCAAACTTCAATGAGTCAAGATCTAATGTAAACAAAAATGTGTAAAAGCTTTTAAGAACACACATAAATTGACACATTTCCAGTTGAAAAATAATAATGCATTGCGGTTTTAATGCTGAGAAGCAAAAAACAAGCTTTATGACTGATCAATGAATTATATTATTACGTTGGATCACATTCATTTTCTTACTGTACGTTAACTTTGAGCTGTGTTACAACTGTTACACTGCATGATGACGTTTTAAATGTTTATGTTTTTTATTATTTAGCCAACGTACTTTACTCATACTAACCTTTCATAGCTCAGTAATAAAATTATATTTAATATACAGTATAATATACACTACCTTCAGAAGTCTTTTGAAACTGTAGATTATTCTACTCTACAAGCAATATAGAGCCAATATAGTTTTGGTCAGAAGTTTACATACATTCGTTATGGGCATGAATGTCATGGTAATTTTGGGCTTTTGATGACTTCTTTTAACTTTTCTTTTTCCACTGTGGAATGATTGTACAGTGTACATATATAATGACTTTAAAATAATTTTTAATTTACTTCGGATTTTCTCTAATCCACACAGGAAATCTATGTAAATATCTGAGGTGGTTCAAGACTTTTATTGGAAAGAAAATATTATGTAGAATTAAATAATGATTCTTAAAGGTCACCCCATGGAAATGTTATTTATGGTATAACAGGATCTATTTTCGGTTCATTACTTTTTTCCATCTATATTAATGACATGCCTCAGGCTGTGTCTCATGAACCTGAATCCTTTACGTGGATGATTCTGCTCATTTAGTTAGTGGAAATACGTCCTGAAGATCCATCCATCCATTTGCTTCCCCAGGAAGCAAAGAGTACACCCTGGACAGCTCACCAGTCTGTTGCAGGGTTATCACAGAGAGACGGACAGCCATTCACACTCACAATCACACTAAACACCAAACACCAGCTAACCTAACCCCACTAATCCTAGGGATATTAAACCTACATTCTCAAGAATTAGAATTTTGTTAGCCTATGACCTGAGGAAAATATGATTTCACTTCAGCAAGGAAAACCTAATAAGATAAGAAACCTCTTAATCAAGTGTAACTCTTATGCCATTAGCTGAGCTAATTATAACAAGGACCTAGTACTAACTTTGAGCTAGAATTCATCAGGTACAAGCATGGCTATATCTGTTATTAAAATAAATACAAAAATGAGAAAAATGTTTTTATATAGGAAAATAAATCTTTCTTTTCAGTAAAGGAAAGAAAAAGTGTGGAGACATTGCAGATTTGGAGCTTTATGTGTGTGTGTTTGTTTGTTTTTTTCATATCCTCCATGTGTCTTTGTGGGGTTCCTGTGGGTGCTCTGGTGTCCTCCCACAAACCGTATGGTAATTGCTGATTCTAAATTGGCATTAAGTGTAGTTGTGCAAGTAGAGTTTATGGGTGTTTGCATCTCTGTGTTAGCATCACAGCGCTAACACAGAGACACAGAAACACAGAGGCTGCTGGCCCCCTCACTGCCTCCCTAAACTTTTAAGTTGGCTAGGCAGTTGGATGGATGACTTAGCAAAATGCTTTACATTGGCATGCAATGGTTAATTTAATGTAATATTTATCTATGTGTCTTAAGCTGTCACCATGGTGATGAAATCAGCAGTTGATGATGATGACACTGGCTGGGGGCTGGGTATCCCAGAAAAGATGAAGAACAACGCCAACTGGGTTGATATTACACATGAATTCAAAAGCGCCTGCAAAGGTAAGGTGCGTGTGTGCGTGTGTGTGTGCACGTGTGTGTGTGTGCAGTTAAAAAAAGGGACTGACGTGTTTCTCCTTCCTTGTTGTCATCCTTTATTCATGCAGATTTGAACCTTGGAGAGTTGCTTCATGACAAGCTGTGAGTACACCAAAGTGCTTTTTTGAGTCCTTCAAGTTAGAAACGAGCTTTTCATCTTACTGCTGCACAGATTCTCAATTAAAAAAGTTTTCATGTCCCAAAGTCATAGTTCAAAACATTGACTGCGCGGAGTAATTATAATGAAAGCTTCTAATGTTTTTGCCACAAGTGACTTTGAATTTAATTGGGTTGATATTTGCATTCATTTTTGGATCGGTCCATAAATATTGTCAGTGTTTTTATGTTTTTATGTAGTGAACACAGAAAAAATGTTACAGAGGTCAAAAATGTTTTACTTCTGCTGCAGGTTTGGCTTGTTTGAAGCCATGTCAGCTATAGAGATGATGGATCCTAAGATGGATGCGGGAATGATTGGAAACCAGGTCAACAGGAAAGTGCTCAACTTTGAGCAAGCTATTAAGGTACTGATCTCTTTTTCATGGAATGAAAACAGTATACAGACAGAGATGTAATGTAATCCTAGATTTAATTTTTCAGAGCTTAGTTTCATTTGTTTGTGTATATAAAACACATTTAACCACCTTATTTCCCTCTTTCTTTGTTCCAGGAGGGTGCCATCAAGGTCAAAGACCTCAGTCTTCCTGAACTCATCGGGATCATCGACACCTGTTTCTGCTGTTTGGTTAGTTAGCTTTTGCTTATTATAAGGCAACATTTTGAAAGTTATGTTCAAGTAATGTGCTGCCCCCTGTAATTCCTTTGTACTGCAGATTTTCTGAAATGTGACTGGATTGGAAAATGTTTGCTGCAGTAGTATTAGCTTAATCTATATTCTGTATTTGTAGCTGTTTTAACGTTTTTATGCCATTTTTGTCTTTATTAGATTGTAAAATTTGAGAAACACAATAAGCTTTGGCGAGATTACTGATACAGGTCGAGCCAGCGATGACTCAAACTGCGGACTCACTGATCAAGACATATTTATGTATGCATGTTTGTGTTTTCTAATATGTGTGTATATGTAGATAACATGGTTGGAGGGCCACTCACTGGCCCAGACTGTGTTTACCTGCCTCTATGTTCACAACCCTGACCTGATTGAGGAGCCAGCCCTCAAAGCTTTTGCCCTGGGCTTGCTGAAGGTGTGTGACATTTCCCGGGAAAAGGTCAACAAGGCTGCTGTGTTTGAAGAGGTGAGCAGTTTTCTGCTGTCAGTCAGTAAATGTTTGGTTACCGTGGTACTGCACGTTTCAATGTGGACATGAAGTCAGCACAGATAGCAGGTTAAAATCATGGACCAACACAAAAAAAACCCAGGTGGGAAAGAAAAAGCTGTGAGTAAGTTATCTGAAAGATGGAGCTCAGTGTAGCATTTCGGGACCCAAAGAGCTTTAGTTTGATTGTAAATGTGTGTTGTTTAAATCTATTTGTTTGAAAAGTTGTTCTCGTAGTAGCCCATTTATAAAACTGTCATATGTCTGAATGGTGATTTTTATCTTATATTTCTTTATGCAGGAGGATTTCCAGGCCATGACCTATGGCTTTAAGATGGCTAATAATGTCACAGATCTGCGGGTGACAGGTATGAAGACTTCCAGTCATAACTGAGTAAGGCTCAATATCAATCTCCAACCTAAAGCATAAAAATTAAACTCTTAACAACCTAAATGATACCATTCGAGTGCACAGGAGCACACATTGAGTAAGTCAGTTTGAGGCCTAGGATTGTGTGTTTGGGACTTTTTGTGGGTAATGCCCTCAGGCAGCATCTGCAGAAATGTAGACGTGCAACAAGGTTTAAAAATCTCTGCCAAAGAACACTTGATACTTTGACTGTAGGCCCTTGTGGTTTTAGCATAAACACACATCCAAGTTTATGAACCTGTGTGTACACATTGGGATTGGGCTTTAGTCTGCAGCATCAACTACAGTGTAGAGAGCTAAAGCAATTACAGGCAGACACTGTAATCATTCATCTCTCATGACGTATTAATCCCTTCAGGTATGCTGAAAGATGTAGAAGATGAATTACAGAGGAAAGTTAAGGTAATTATTCTTGTTGCTTTAAGTAAAGGCCATTGCCATTTCAATGACGCACTGATAATGCAAAAGCTTTTCTGACATGAGATGTTTCTGGGTTATTTTGTGCTCCGTCAGAGTACGCGCAGTCGACAAGGTGAGCAGCGAAACCCGGAGGTTGAGCTGGAGGTAAGTGAGATCATTCACACATTTGTGTTGAGTTTTTGCAACAGTTTTTTTTTCTAGAGGCATTTTCTTTAACTCCAGGAACAAATTATCTCACGTTTCTTTGTAATTTATACCTTTTGAGTCATATCTCACTACCAGCTATATCTCTGTGTCAATAAAGAGTGTGGGACTCACATGACCTCTTAAAGACTCAGCTCTGGAATTTCCAGCTCTTTCAGTTATATAGTTATATAAAGAAAGGAAGGGGAAAAAAACAAGGAGACCCAAAAATGGACTTTTCTGAACAGTCTTTTAAAAAAACAGGTGTATTAATAGCTCTGCAATGTTCTCCCATGCTTTGTTTTTTTCAGCATCAGCAGTGTCTGGCACTATTCAATAGAATAAAGTTCACACGCCTTCTACTGACTGCACTGATCGCTTTTACCAAGAAAGAGGTAATGCACATATCGACAAAAGCCCAGCAGCAGATAGACTGATTCTGTTTACTGCATGCGTTACATATAAACAGAGTTTTTCTTGTGACCACACATGTAAAGACAAGTAGTCCACATGTAGCTGAGGTAATGAGTTACTTATCTAACATTTTTCTTTTATTTCTGAACAAAAATATGAGTAAATGAAGCAAAATATCTTAAAAACAAAACAAAGAATAATGGAGGAAGTTTGTTTTTTAACATTCCTGATGATTTTCTTCTGAGGAGGAAATTTTGATGTGTTAGAAAAACCCTGATGTTTATATATATCTGTGATATTTACAAACTATATATACTTTTGTTGATAAGGGGGCTTGTTAGTAAGTGTTTTGTTTTGTGTCTTTATCAGACCAGCTCAGTGAGCGAGGCCCAGAAGCTCGTGGCACAGGCAGCTGACCTGTTATCCCCCATTCATTCCAGCATTCAGCATGGCATCCAGTCACAAAATGACACCACTAAAGGAGGTAGCACGCACATTCACGTTTAATCTGTTAAGTGGAGGAGTACAAGTTAAGCCTTTTTTTTGCAATTTGCAAGCCAATAGCTTAGCTACAGCTGCAAAAGATATGTTTAAAAATGGGTAATTAAAGAATTTGAGCATAAAATAATCATTCTGAGGCTCCAGTTGTTCAGTTAAGTCATGGTTAATGGCAACCTAAAGTCCACACTGGATGTAACTTGTCTACACTAACAGTCTTCCTCACACAGAACTGAAAAAATCAACTTCTTTTCATTTACTTTGGTTTGGCAAGTCCTTAAAGATGATTCAGTTACATTTTTTTCCAAATGTGACCTGTGTTCATGTCTCTAATTTATGTTGTGATTTGTTTTGTTCCCTGTGATTGCTGCAGACCACCCCATCATGATGGGCTTTGAGCCTTTAGTCAACCAGAGATTGCTGCCACCCACCTTTCCTCGCTACGCCAAAATCATTAAGAGGGAGGACATGGTGGCGTATTTCAGCAAGCTTATAGAGCGCATTAAGACTGTTTGTGACGTGATCAACACTACCAACCTACATGGCATACTGGTAAATACATTTCCTGAGGTTTGTCTTGATGCATTCGTTTTTTATTAAGTTTTATCATAAACAAGCTTTTCAGGACATTAGAAAGTTTCTTCTAAAAGCTAGACTATATGTCTGTTAAGGTTCTCAGTCATCCAGGTCATCGTAGTCAAAGGAGCTTGCAAAGAAAAGCGTCTGGACTTCTTTAAGTTACTTGAAGACGTTTCACCTCTCATCCGAAAAGCTTCTTCAGTTCTAAGGTCAAATCCTTAGAAGTGGGCGTTAAGGCAATCCCAGACGCCTTAACGCCCACTCACATCCTGGGCCATCTGACCTCAGGAAATCGCATGATAAGGTGGGGCCAGGTTTCACAATGAACTCACCCGAAACTCTGGCTGATTGGGACCCAGTTTCACACCTTGGCTCAGGCGATTAGAGGATCATCAGGGGGTCCTTTTGTCCCTCTGTGGGGGGATACTCCCACTAGGTTTATATCTGGGACTCTCCACCATTTGACCTTAGAACTGAAGAAGCTTCTCGGATGAGAGGTGAAACGTCTTCAAGTAACTTAAAGAAGTCCAGACGCTTTTCTTTGCAAGCTCCTTTGACTAAAAGGTAGACTGTTTCAGTTATGCACCAGATGCCCTCTCTGAGACAACCTCAAAGGGGATTTGTGTGTCCAGTTGGAAATATAAATTGAAATTAAAGCTGCAAGCAGCACTGAGAGAGCCCGCGCACTCTGGCACCATCGAGCCATGCCCAACACCTTTTGTGCCCACTAGGTGGCGACGAAGTATCCCAGTTAACAGTATGTCACACTGGAACCACCTATTAAAAGTTAATCTGGATTTGATAATGATTATAAGCTACTGCGCATTTCCTGTTCCAACTAGGCGGTGCTCAAACTATCGCTGACAAATGGTATATCAATCTGTTCAGAGCCAGACTCTCATCATGCCTGTCAAGTCTGGTAGAGTTTGTTCAATCCGTTTTTGAGTTACAGCAGTTACGTGGCGAATGATCGAAATGTGATGTGCTGCCACGACATCACCCCTTCCTGTTGGGTTTGGGGTGATGGGCCCCTGGACATTTTTGTCCGTCTTTGTATGTTACACGTGTGTACCAAGTTTCATGTCTACAGCTGTTCCAAACCAATAAAATATCTTATTTTTCACCGTGTGCCAAATTTCATGAATTTATGACTATGTTAAGACTTTCAAAAAGGCAATTCATTGGACAAAATAATAATAACAAGCAGCCTTCGCACGTTTCGTGCTCGGGCTCTAATTATAAAGTTTCTTCTATGATAACTTAAAGATTGTGTTTTGTTGTTGCTGATGTTTTTACCAGGACTTCTTCTGTGAATTCAGTGAGCAGTCTCCCTGTGTGCTCTCCAGATCTCTTCTTCAGGTAGATGAATACTTGCTTTCTTAAATCTTTCAAATGTACCTGTGGTTTTATTTTGGTGATCCGTGTAGATACGACCTATGCAAATATGAAAAATACTTGCATAGATATAAATACTCCATAGATACTATGGAGTATTTAATAAAAAAGTAAATGAAACTACATTTCATTTTTTTCCCATCAATCCAGACGACATTCCTGATAGATAATAAAAAAGTGTTTGGCACCCACCTGATGCAAGACATGATTAAAGATGCTCTGAGGTACTTTGTCAGCCCACCAGTCCTCTCATACAAGTAAGTTGTGTTTATTTTAAATACTAAATGAGATTAGTTGGTCTGTTGTTTTGTCTCTAGCTTAGCTGTGATTTGAGGTTTACAATATGCTTTTACCTGTATTGATTACTTTAACCTTTCTACTGTCAGAGGATAGTTGGTGCAACAGAAAAATATCAGGATATATATGACACAATAATGACATTACTGTAGGCTGAAATGAAACACAGTGAGAAATGAGATATGATGTGATCGGATTTAGAACACTTAATAACAATATCCTTTATAAACTAGTCAAATATCGTAACCACTTATTTAACATCTGATCATCAGTGGAAACATTGAACACACTGATATTGTATAATAAATTATAACAAGTGATTAGATATCATATAGCAGTGATCATTTGGCCTGCAGTTAAGCTACTGGATACACTTACTCTGAACGCACTGCAGTGTGTGAGTTCTGGTTGTAAACCTCAAATAGACAAGAAGCTAAGCTCCACAAATGTCCCTTTGTTTGGCTCAGATTGACCTTGTCACATGTGTTGTTGTACCTCTGTCTCTCCAGGTGTTGTCTCTTCAACAATCACCAAGCGAAGGACTACATTGACTCTTTTGTTACACACTGCTCCAGGGTATGTTATTGCTGTGGCTCAAAGTCTCTACATCTAAGTCATCGTTTATTATATTTGACTCTCAGTAGCTGACTTAGAGGTAAATCGTATGAAAGTAGACATAGACATGTGTTTCCACCTTGGAGACTTATGTGTAATAAAATATAAACATCACAAACGTTTATCCCTATAATGGATTATGTTTATGATTGTTGTATGTATTCATTTTCTCTTGCCACTCACCCGCAACCTGCTGCAGGAGATGGCTGCCCTCTCCCCGAGCATGGTTCTGCTGGAGGTTTCTTCCTGTTAAAAGGAAGTTTTTCCTTCCCACTGTTGCCAAGTGGTTGCTCATAACGAGTCGTCTGATTGTTAGGGTTTCTTTCTAATATTATAGAGACGTTACAATCTGAAGGGCTTTGAGGTGACTGTTTTTCGACTGATCTGGCGTAATATGAACTGAACTGAGTGTTTTCCCCATAGCCTTTCTGCAGCCTGATCCAGATCCACGGACACAACCGTGCTCGACAGAGAGACAAGCTGGGACACATTCTTGAAGAGTTTGCCACACTGCAAGATGAAGTGAGCTGCAGCTGCGTTCATCCAAATCAGCTGTCTTTGCCGTTCGTGCTACAGGCAGTTTCTCTAAATTCATCAAGCAACCTCAGAACTCTTTCTTTGTGCTCTACAGGCTGAGAAGGTGGATGCAGCTCTGCATAGCTTACTGATGAAACTGGAGCCTCAACGACAGCATCTAGCCTGTCTTGGGACCTGGATCCTCTATCATAACCTGAGGATCATGATTCAGTACCTGCTGAGTGGCTTTGAGCTGGAGCTTTACAGCATGCATGAATACTATTACATTTACTGGTAAGATTGCATGCCTCTGTGAATTACTGGCAGAAGCTGAACTCTCTCTCTCCCACATAACCTGGGTGCAGGTTTGCTGTAAATGAGCATGTGTTTGTTTTGGTTGTAGGTACCTGTCAGAGTTCCTTTATGCGTGGCTGATGTCCACTCTAAGCAGAGCTGACTCCTCTCAGATGGCAGAAGAGCGGATTCTAGAGGAGCAGCTGAAAGGGCGCAGCAGCAAAAAGACCAAGAAGAAGAAGAAAGGTACATTTTGTTGTGTTGCTTTTATCTGAA